TAAAACGCAGCAGAAGCCTAAAAGCTGTGAAGGCAAGCTTATGCACAGGCAAATTTCAGATGCATGCGTTAAGGGACAAGGAAGATATTGTCACAATCAATATGGATAGAATAGTTGAGGTTGCGGAGGAGTTCTAGAGAGAGCTGTATAGAAGCCGAAACAACCAGAACGATATCGTAAGAAGCAATAATAGTCCAAATGAATTCGACATAATGACAGGAGAACTACTGAAAGCCCTTGAAGAAATGCAAAGAAGCAAAGCGACTGGTGAGGGTAAAGTTACATTTTACCTGCTAAAAGATGGCGGAAAAATATTCTTAGAAAAACTGACCACCTTATATACGAAGTGTCTATTGACGGAAAGGTTACAATCAGCCAACATACAGAAAAAAAAGGCAGATTATGCACGGAGTGAATGATGGAGAGTGGGGCGAAGCGTACGTCCGTTTAATCGTTCTTGCTTCCGTCCGTCCATGCGTCCGCCTGTGTTCACGTCCGTGCGTGCGTCTGTTTGTGCGTCCGCACGTCCATCTTTGCGTCTGTCCCTGCGTTAGTCCATGCATCCACCCCTGCGTCGGTCCATGCGTTCATTCGTCCGTGCAGCCATCCGTGCGTCCGTCCATGCATCTGTCTGTGTGTCCGTTCATCCACCTATTTACCACTCCAAGTACCACCATCTCGCATCATTTCATCATATATTCGCCATATATAAGCACCGCCATCCAGCGGACATTCCAAGGACTAAACGGGAGGTGGCACACGCACACTTTCTTACGGCTTGCGCTTCGTGTCTACTTCCCACCTTTAACCACCTCGAGTTCATGGTATATACTAGTTCACTGTATTCATGGCACTGAGGCCCAACGCTCACTAAACCTTTCTAAAACCAAGGAGGTTACGCCCAGCGAGTATAACGTAGCAACCCTTTCTTGTCAGATAGTGCTCAATGTACATGCCAATGGCTGCTAATGTATAGTGAGACACCGGAGAATTTGGCTTTTAGTTAACGCGCACACTGCGCATTTTTTATTGCTCAACAACGCACACGAGAAATCTCCCAGCGGCACCACCTTGCAGGTCAAAACGTAAGACTGGTTACACACTACGACTACGACTACGAGGGACAAATGGGTGCCGCTTTAAAAAGCTCCGACCCTAAAAAATGCCGGAGATTACAAAGGCAAAAGCCATAATCGGCGAAGGGACCATGTGTGTCAGTAGACCTCCGTTGCACTGTCACAGAAAGAAATTATTTCTTGCATTCGACGATGTAACGGCAAGTGTATTGTGATGTTCGGTAGCAGTTAGAGATGTTCACGGGACTCTCGTTAAATATCAGTGGCTAGAGCAATCCCATATGTTTATTTTTGTGTGCGATTTTTTCTGCCCTGTAATCGAGAAAGGCAACCATAAACAATTTCACCTGTTCAATAAGTGATACTCCAACCACCGTCGTAGCTTAGCACGTAGCGTGTCATGTTGCTAATCTCAAGAACACAGGTTTGAAAAGAAATGAAATACAGTTTTAAAAGGCTTGTACTATAAATGCTGCAATTTATGCAAAGCTATATACCTTCTATGGTTATTCGTGGTCACTGTCACCTGGAAAACTACCAGAAAACGGTTCCCAGAAGGGCATGATGAGTAACTCTGCTGGTTTCAGTTTACACGCCTTTTGGCCCCAGCTCACAAAAATAAAATGATAATCAGTCGAGATATTGGAGTAACCTTAGTTAAGCTAAAAATGTTGCGAAAGTAGGGCAACAGAATCAAGATGTTGACCAATGTGTTTGCTTAACAAGATTTCTCCAAGGAATACTATTATTTATAATATTAATGATCATGATGCTGATGAAGAAACAAATTATTGGAGTTTGCGGTACTAAGTCAACAAAAAGATTTTGAGGCACCCAGCAGCATAGCATTATTCAATTTCGCTGCGTGGATCCATCTAACAAGCACCTAAACTCAAGCATGCCTGTGTTCTTTGCCAATGACCCCACGTCGAAATGAAACGACCATGGCCCGATATCAAGTCTGCTCCCTTAAGCTAAGCGGCACAATGGTTACACAAACCAGCTACCGTTAGAAGTTTCAGTAATGTGTAAATTGTTCCTATTGTGCACTGTGTTTGTGTTGTTTTGTTTCTTTCTTAAAGCTAAATGTAATCATAGGCAGTGATCTTGTGTGAAGTATTGATTGATTGATTTGTGGGATTTAACGTCCCAAAACCACTATATGATTATGAGAGACGCCGTAGTGGAGGGCTCCGGAAATTTTGACCACCTGGGGTTCCTTACCGTGCAGCCAAATCTGAGCACACGGGCCTACAACATTTCCGCCTCCATCGGAAATGCCTTGTGTGAAGTATACTGCACCTTTGAAAACTAGCAAGTTATTTTGCGGTGACCCGGATCAAATTTTCTTACCCGTGTTCTCTTCGATCTCATAATAAAATAACAGTTTACTAACACACATTAAAACACACGCCACACAGGCTTCACTCAAATGCCACACAGGCTACGAAACGCCTCACAAGCCATACCGCACGAGTGTTTCTCTGTTAACGTTGTCGTTTACCTTTACTATTTAGAAAAAGGCACGTGCATTTCTAATATTCAGCCATCTTGCAACGCTTGACGTCCTCGTTCAGGCTGTTCTGAGACTGTTCCTGATTGACTTAACGAACAAATCTTCAGTGATCCTCTTACACAAAATACCTAATAAAAGACACACGAAAGAAAAAGATAAGAAACAGGAACAACACAAAAACCAGCTACGCCTTTACACTGAAGCGTCATGTTCTTCAAGCACGCAGAAGTTCGCCCGTTCGTAGCGTGAAACGCGCAAGGGAATGTCGTAGTTTCCGGCCATCTTGACTGGCTCGACCTTAGGAAAAGGCACAACAGGCACCATGCTGGTGTCCCCTTGCCTAGAATTCTGCTTCGACGCTTGGTTCAGCTCGGACCTCAGCTTTTAGCCCGTCTGTGGTGAATCTTCCTGCGTATTTGCACTGGCGTTTCTCGTTTTCTCGGTGTCGTCTGGTCATGTTGTCTTCAGCTCAGTATCTTCCTTCCGGACGGTCCAGGACTCTTCATTCTCGTTTCTTTCCGTCTCCTCTACAGCATTTTTTTCTTATTCTTCCGGTGGCTTGTCTTCCGTATCATTGTCTTGGCTTAATTGGTCTGCTGGCTTTTTGTCTTCTGGAACTTCGCCTTCTTCCTGCTTATTCTTATGTGTCGCTTTCTGTTCCTGGCCTGCTTCTTCGTTATCTTACACTTCTTTCTTTCTTCGCAGCAATGCCCTGCTGTTTCTTTCGCCGTTCCGTTTTTTTTCTCGCTGTATTTTTCCATATCAGTGGGTTGGGAGCTTGTGCGCTTTTATTTGCCCACAGCTTCGGCTTGGTTTCTGTATTTCGGCTTTCCATTGGCTCCGGCACACGTCTTGAGCTTTTGTTCTTCACCTACCTTCACAGTCGGTGCTTTTTTATCTCCGGAGTTCTCGGTGTGGGACGGGGTTCATTCGGAAAACGGGTTCACGTGTCTTCTGGGGGTTCCGTCAGGTGCGACTTCGTGTAGACTCGGAGCGTCGTCTGTTTCCGCCGCAGTGCTTCCGGTCGAGGGCAGATGATGGCCAGTCGTGTTAACTCTGGAGCCATGGTTGACAAAGGTACAATGAAAACGTACCTCCAAATCCTCCGACGATGTGATTTTAGAGCTCCTCGAATGGTACCAATCATTGGCAGCTCCAATCAGTCGGGCCTTGGCAGTTTCCATCGTGTAGGCAGCTGACCACGCATGAAGTTTTGTCATTCGACGAAAGTTTTCAATCCACTGGCACGCTGGATGAGCATCTTCGGAGCCGTAAAAGGGGCTGATGTTGCGGCTAAAGTAGGTGATCACCTGGAACCTTGGCGCAGGTTGTGGCTGCTCTGCGCTGGCCTAAACCAGTCGTTCCAGCATGGTCGATATCAGTTTGTCCTTTTCTTGAAGCGCTTGTAGCAGTTCACGAGTCGTGATAGTGTCTCCGTGGTTGGAGCCCGCGTCTCCACCACCAGTCAGGTTGAATCGATCGTCCGTGCGTTCCATTCCAGGGATAAAGTTACCAGACCCGTGAACTGGTAAAGCTCACATTCACTCATCCGTTGGCGACTAGATTTCCTTTCCATTGCTGAATTCTTGTCTTTGACCTCGTCATAAAAGAACAATTGACTAACTCATAATAAAACACACGCCGCACAGGCTCCAAAACGACTCACAAGCCATACCGCACGAGCATCTCTCTGTTAACGTCGTCGTTTTCCTTCCCTATCTGCAAAAAGTCCCGTGCAAAACGGCACCCGATTGAAACTCAAAGTTTCAAAGTCTTCGTGCGCTGCTTTGCTATTTATATCCACTTGCCGATCATTGCCCGGGGCTGTGCTATAGACCTTTAGGCACTCTGGATAAAACTTATGTTAACGCCAGGATTCAGCACAGCACAAATCATTCTATACCATGACTGCTCGATGGTTGCAGAAAGCCGCATATATGCGAAGCAGCGGGAGTTTTTGCGCGAAAGCTCTTCTCTATTTTTATATACAGCTTTCACAGAGTGAAACTTGCTTTACTTTTTAGACTCAGCAATAAAATTGTCATTGAAATGTATTGGTTATTATCTACATTTTATTGTGTACAAAAATGTTAGACACATTCAGGCTGTTTTGAGCTGACCGGTGAACTCACACATTGGGGTGAGGGGTGGAAGTGACCTTACTTGAGCGTAATGGACACATCTTTCTTTCATGACGTTGCCGCGGACATGTTATTTGAAAATATAATCGCACTGCTAATTCAGGAGCACGGTCATCCAAATGGTACACAAAAGAGGTATCCTTTACAAAAGCAAACGCAAAGCAATAGTTCTCAGAAAGGCATCAGACATGCGCTTAACAATGGGCCTAATTTTAGGACAAGAAACAATCGCACTGCCGCACATGTGCTAGAAAGCTCCCACGAAAGACAGATGAAAAGAGCACCCGTGGAGCATGACAAATCTTGGGCCCGTCCCTGGTTTCTATGTCAAGACTGTAGTGTGAAGGACTAATACCCAAAGCTCTTCAAGGCTAAGAGAATGTGACCCTATCTCACGTGGGAGTGTGCCACAGAAGTTCTTACCATTTCAAGATTTTAGCGTGGGAAGCGCCTCAGCGATAACTGTGTGCTAATACTGGTAAGTGGTGGTGCGACCAGAAACCTACTGGTACATAAAGGAAGCCAATGGATGAGAAATGACTTGACAGAACTTTTAACTGAAACCAGGAATACCATGACAAGCAACTCCATTGTTTACGCAATGAAGTATCTTGTTTTTGTAACTGATATAACTTTGTTGGCACCGAATTTTCGTTCGGGCTTTTTTTTCTCACCGGTGTACTTTTTGCCGACACGTGGCGACTCACTTCACTGTTCTCTTTTTGTTGTTTAGCTTACAGTAACTGCAGCGATTACTTGCTTTTTATGCATATGTGGCTGGATATTCTACGGCTCATAAATCTTTCTTTTTTACTACTTACTCGCTTTATATATTTGTCACGTCGAATTCTATTTGTGAGCCCAATACGCTTGAATGGGCTGGACTTATTGTATATAGCTCTGGTTGAGTAGCTTCAGTGTTGAAATACTCTCACACCAGTGCGAATGTACACAGTGTCATTTCATATATAGCACGTTCTATATTCAGGAAAAGCTCTATTCAGCTTTTCGTGAAGTTCTCAGTCGATGCGTACTTATGCTGTGGTTGGTATCGCTTAGCAGACCGATTCCAGAGGGCTGCCTCACGAAGGCGGCCAGTTCGAAGTGGCATTGTGAGCCGGATGGCTCGCACGTTGTCACCTTGCATCCTTTGCTGGCTCCTTGTATGCGCCGTCTCGGCCACACGTACAGCCTTAGCCGACTAACCATCATTACAGTGGCAGAGATTGACATTTTGTGCACCAAAAGATTTTATGACTTGCGTTTCAAGAGAAGAAAGATTATGGTCATTAGGGACACATTAAATAATACAAAATATAAGGCACATTGTGACTCATATGAAAGTATAAAATGTATAAGTTACGCAGCATTCTCTGTGTAAGGAGTTGCATTAGCTGTTTGCAGCGATGTTCTTGTTTCGCTCACCCTCTATGTTATTGCCAACCTAGGACATTTACACAATGCCAACATCAAAACTTTTTACATATCAAATTGAAACAGTTTTGTCATACCTGCCAGTTGACTGATTTATTCTCACCGTAGACTCTTATGCAAATGTTTCAATTGTTGGACTGACGGAAGAAAAAAAAAAAACGTTCTTTTTCACTGTATTTCTTTAAAGCACTCAAGAAAGCATTTGCTAAGCTCGGATTGGTATTGTACCCACATGTCCAATTCTAGCAAATAGCATGTTTTTGTAATATCTTAAAACAAGGAGTAGACAGGGGAAGCCTTTTTCCAACCTTATGAGTAAAACACCCACCCTTATTTTTTTTGTGTAGAGCAACGCGCCGTTTTTTTACACGCCCATTAGTTCTATTCGTGTTTATTTGACCCCTTTGAACCATGCTTTTGTGTTGTTTTAGGCTAGCTATATATAAATGTATTGTAATCAGACATGAGTTTAGGTTGCTGATGCTGCACTCAAGCCTGCTGTGCATTTTTGTTTCCAGACATTCTTTGACCGCACGAACACATCTCCGATACAATTTTTGCCCATGTACCACCTCTGAGCTTGTCTCTCTTCAGGCACGTAGGGCTAAAACATGCTACCAGATCTGTCAAACTGTTGTAAACTTTTCGCCCCCAGATGACTAGAAAATATCAGTCATTCTATAGACACAACAAAATTTTGAGCCTGTAGGCGGCCTAGAAAAATTTAGGACAATTGAGTAATAACACTGTAAAGCGTTGCTGACAATAATATGCAAAGAATGATGTTCTATGCGAACAAACATGCAAAAATATGGCTTTCAACAACGCCACTGTACAAAAATTGAATGTTTTGCTGTGAGTGTGACAGTTCTATGAAAAAACTGTTTTGAGTACTTTTTCTTGAGTTTCATCGAACAGAGAGGGAGATAATAAATATTTTCATTTAAAGGGGCCCTGAAACACTTTTTGAAGTAACCATGGAATGAATTCACTGGACGAGCTTATTGTCTCACGAATTCAACGCCACAAAAATTTTAAGAATCCGTCCAGTGCGAGTGGAGTTACAAAGATTTGTCGCATGCTGCAATTGCATTATCTCCTCTCTCGTCCCGACGAAAGCACTGGAAGCTAAGCAGGGAGGATGGTAGAGCCACAGAAAAACGTAACGTGTGCCTCGTGACCTTGAGCTATTTTCCCTTTTTTTCTTTGAATGCGCGGCTTTTTCAGTGTGATCTCTGTAACGAGCGAGCGCAGCATGTTCAAATCAGCCAATGGATGATAGATGGGCTAGCTACGTGTGATTTTTTAGAATATTCCGTGATTTGTCGAGAGAATAAAAAGCAATTTTTAGCTGACTTTGATAATTTATTGCAAATTCCAGGCCGCGTGCTGTGCTATAGTATTTGGCTCGCGTGTTTTCAGGAGCCTCTACTACCGATCGGCAGCGTTTTCTGACCATTCTCAAAAAGTGTTGCAGGGCCCTTTTACGAGCCGTTGACTCGAGGTGACACATCTCCATTCCGACGACTAACGTTTACGGTCATGAATAAATCGATTTGTGGTATATAAAAGAGTTAACGTACAGCCGGGCAGAGCATATGGTGAATCCCACTGAATGACGACATAAATAATCACATAAGAAGCACTGGTACTGGATACACGCGCATGGAAAGAAGCGTCTTCAGTGAGATGAAAAGTAGCAATATATATATATAGTGGGAGTAATAATTCAATGGACCAGTTAGTCTTCGTGAAGGTATGGGATATGGCACAACGGGAGCGTTGTCAACAAGGATAATATATTTATTGCCCAACAGTTTCGGGAGGGGTCCTCCCTTCATCAGGGGATGAGTTATATATATATATATATATATATATATATATATATATATATATATATATATATATACTGGGGGTAACCTACACCCTGTGCACATGCTGCATAGAGTATACATGCACACATTGCTTAATAAACGGGAGAGGCAGGTACTTGCGAGTCATTCCCTCGTCGACGTCGTAGCCTTTCTGCGGCGCTTAACGCAACAGTTTTAATAGTCGGTGCCTCCACACTTGACGCAGGAGACGGCTTAGAAACGCCGTTGGTGCATGTGGAAGCTTTACTACGATTGAGACAAGGTGGCCCAAATTGACACGACGCGAAAAACAGAGCGCACAGTAGTGGAAACCGGGAAGCCAGCTTTTCTTGCGCTGACCAAGCCAGCTCGAGTGCTGTGTCAGCGTTTGGTAGTATCAAGATGCATTGCTTCCCTTCACTGCTCCTAGATGGTGGCACAGCTCTTGGAAACTAAGAGCGCCATAAAAGGGAGAAGGTGCAGAGATATCGTGTATGAGATCAAGCTGTGGACGTGTTTAGGACAAACCAGCTAGTGTTTCAACGACAAAGCTCGACAGCCTAATAATGATGTTAGGAATGGATCCTGTAGCTGCCTGGTTGAACAGCGCAAAAAGTGTAGGCACATGCGCCCCTGCATTTAGCAACACAGGTAGGAGAGAAGCATACAAAAATCGGCAGATCCCACGTACAGTGGGAATAGATGATTTGCGAAGCATGAATGAGGAAGGTTCATATGACACTTCAAAATCTGTACAACGTGATGAGGCGGAAGTAAATGATGCCATACATGACTTTTATGCGATGATTCTCATGTTTGGACGTATCAGTTGCCTTCTTCGTCTATTAACGTCACGGGATACCACATTTGCTATATGTGAATCTAGCAAAAGGGTTGCGAGCACGCTATGAGCGTAGCATGTAGTCATGTTCTATATGACACGCGTATCACGAATATCATGTTTGGACGTGTCATCTACCTTCGTCATCCATTCACGTCCCGTGATACCAAATTCGTTATATGTAGAGCTAGCGGAACGGCCACGAGCGCGCTATGAGCATGGCATGTAGTCATGCTTTACATGACACGCATACCCCGTCACCACGGTGGTCTAGTGGCTTAGGTACTCGGCTGCTGACCGGCGGGTGGCGCGATCGTATCCCGGCTGTGGCGGCTGCATTTTCGATGGAGGCGAAAATGCTGTGTTCCCGTGTGTTCAGATTTGGGTGAACGTTAAAGAACCCCTGGTGATCAAAATTTTCGGAGCCCTCGACTACCGCGTCTCTCATATAGATGTGGGGATTTCGGGACGTTAAACCCCATATATCAATTACATGACACGCATCTCATGATTATCTTGTTTGCACCAGTCATATGCCTTCGTAATCCAGCTACATCACGTAACATCAAATCTGATATATGAGAAGCTAGTAAAATGACCGTGAGCGCACCATGAGCGTGGCGTGTAGCCATGACTTACATGATATGCATGTCATGATTTCCACGTTTGGGTCTGTCACTTATATTCGCCATGCAGTCATGTCATGCCATACCATTATGCCATGTGAACTGAACCACCGCAAGAGCAGCAAGACAATGAAGTGTAAGTCGTGACATTCATGACACACATGTCATGAATGTCATGACATGTCATGATACATGTTATGATTTGTCACTTATTCTCGTCATACATTCAAATTACATCATACCAATTTTCGTATCAATACCGTTAACGAAACGGCCAGGAGAGACAAAAGTCGTAGATAGATAGATAGATAGATAGATAGATAGATAGATAGATAGATAGATAGATAGATAGATAGATAGATAGATAGATAGATAGATAGATAGATATGCTCAAAGTCGTCGAAGTTCGCTAAGAAATGCTTCGCATATGAAACAAGACGCGAATAGTTGGCGCGTTTCAGATAAGGAAACCAGGTGGTAAGCGTGTCAGCTTCCCGTATTGGTGTTACTTGAGAAAGCACTCAATCTTAGGTGGTTCATAGTCACGCGAATGGAATGATTACAAAATGCCTTTTTTTACATATTCACTGATACAATTTTTTGTATATTTAGGTTCCCACATGCATCCGATACGTGAAGCAAAAATAAGGGCTACTTTGAAATTATCCAGCTGTATGTTCAGCGCTGGCGTGGTTGTACATGTTGTTTTTGTCCTCGTCGTTTGTGCGTTTTACGATCACTGGCAAACTGTTTCAGGGCTAGTGGTCAGGGTTGTGTCTTTTCTTAGAATTCATGGAAATGACATACGCACATGCAGTTGGCAGAGGCACCACAGCAGAGATGTCGGGCGCTTCGAAGGCTTGAAGCCAGACGGTAATCCGTCATGGGGCCGTATATTCGGAGACAATCACTTTCGGCGACAGTGTCACCTTGGGTGACGTCGAGTCTGACGTGTTCAATACTTGAATGACCCTTTTGCCCTTGACGTAGTCATTGCATTGGTCACCTATGTTTTCAAACAACACAACAGTACAGTTCTGAGCAGACCGCGTTTGGCCTTTCCGAGTGTACCCGACTTCAATCATCTATGCCTTGGCTAGGCTTCGCTTTGGCTTCTTGAAATAAGAAAAGTGTTAAAAAGACTACCCGCGTGTTCTCGAAAGATACCCTTTCAAAAACACGCGCTGGCGTAAAATGCATTCTCGTTGTTACAGACATACTCACAGAATTCACTTTGTGTAGGGCCGCACCGACATCATCTCAACATCTCAAAAGATTGCTGGTGAACGATAAAACACGTGATAAACGAACCGCTCATCATGCTGGAACATTCGATTCTCAACGAAACACGCAGTTCCAAAGCAACTATCTCTGAAAACACAACGAAGTAATTCTTGCAGGAAAAACTAGCACAACAATGTTGACCACATCCCCAGCGAAGCATTGCTGTTAAATCGTCCATTTATGTCTGTGAAAATACACCTGTCGACAGGTAAAAGATGTATTTATACCACGAACGCCAATAAAGAAGAAAGAAAGAAGGAATAACAGCAAAAGAGAAGGCATGGAGGTCAACCAGGCACGCGCCCGGTTTGCTACATTACACTGGGGCAATGGGAAAGGGGAGTGTAAAGATTAAAGGGAGAGGAAAGAGAAAAGACAAAGGCAAAAAACTGTCAGTAAATTGGCTCACACGTATGTAGCTGCAGCACAACACAAAAGTTAAAGGCGATCACATAGGCCCACAACCCTTCAAACGTGCAAGAGGGTTTGACTGCCTTTTGAGCTGACAAAAGGTGAGGACGGTGCTCTAGAAGCATCTACATACACTGAGAGGGGCCGCTCGTCCAATTGTCGCAACGCGTCAGAAAAGTTTTTTGTTTCTCAGAGGCGAATTGGGGGCAACGGCATAGCGTATGGTCGATGTCTTCTTCGATGCCACAGACGTCACGTTCCACACTGTCGGGGACTCCAATGAAGGTTGTATATAATTTTGTGAAGGCAACCCCTAACTAAAGCCGACAAAGAAGCGAAGCTTCATGTCGACGAAGTCCTGAAGGAAGTCAAAGATTCAGTTGAGAGTTTATTTCGTTGAGTCTTGTATGTCTTATGCTTAGGTTGTTCCACTCCAGCAGACACAGACTAGTGCGACGTGACTAAGTTACCTTGCAGCATCTGTCCTTGACAGAGGAATCGGAAGTCTGTGCTCTTCTTGGTGGGAAGTGCAAGCCGTGTTGTCTGCAGAATCATTACCAGTGATCCCACAATGACCAGGCAGCCACATAAAACTAACCTCGTGGCCTGTTTCTGTGGCATGATGAAGAAGCTTGACAATCTCGTACGTTAGCTGTTCATGGCGACCTTGTCGAAGAACACACTGCATGCTTTGTAAGGCCGGTTTCGAGTAAGAAAACACTGCTCATTTACTCGGTGTCCGGGATGCGATGTACTCTATAGGGCACCTCGCCGAGCCGCAAGTTCTGCCGCCATAGACGTATAGTGGCATGTGACAGCTTGATTCGCATGATTATTCCTCCTGCTGGTATCTCCGCCGCACCACCAGAACTAGACGCTGTGGTTAAACCATTGGTGTATATGTGCAAATGGTGACTATAAATTTCAGCCAGCTTATACGCCAGCGGAGAAGCCGGTGTATCCCCCGTGGTGTCTGACCGTTCTACAAGTATATCTTACAATTCCAGGAATGCTGAAGAAATCAAATTTCCTTTCGTCAGCCCTAAAACATTTGAGCCGGTTCCTCTTGCACGAACGCAAAAAGCATCATACACCACTGAAACGTAAAATTGATATCGCCTGAAATACTAGATGGCGCCACCAATTTTCCTGTTCTCACAGTCAATAGGCGTGCCTCGAATACGGCAGTTTGAAAGTGTTTCCAAAAGCGGTCATCTTATAATACGGACTATGGTGTCTCGCCACAACAAAACAGGACGAAGTTCGTGGCCTCCGCGCTGGCAAACATGCTAAACGATTTAATGGTATATGTAGTTGCTGCCAAGTGTTGCGCTTAACGTCTCAACAACATAACGAGTTTTGACTGGTCGCTCCTTTGCAGTAACGATCGTTGCAGCTGTCCAAGATCATCTGTGAAGGCCAAAGCATGTGCAAAGTGCTTGGACTTGCACGCCTTGACACGTGTTGGTTTATTCGGGAAGACTCTATTGAAGAAATTCGGGACAAATGGCTTTATATAGCCACAACATTGATCGTACGGTTGGTCTCGACCATGCTCTGAAAACGAACCTAAATACATTTTCAATGCTAGTGAGCTTCTTCTTTAGTTAAAAGACATGTGGACTTCGGGTACAATAGCGCTACGCGACGACACCTCACTGGTTGTTCTTATAGGCAACTGATTGGCCCTCAATACACAGTAGGTAGAAGGGCATCGGCTTAGATGTAGATTCCACTGCTGCAATTTTTCTGTATATGCCATCACACCATGCCGAGGAAGGAACGCTTGAGGTTGGTATCGTCCAAATCCTTGCGCGGACTTGAAGTCATGTCACATATAAGTTTACAGGCACATCGCAGTCAAGTATAAGAATGGGCAGTGACATTATTCAAAATTACTGTGTACTTTTTTTATTCAAAGCAAACAAAAGTTTTTGCTACTCTTAAGAGCGCATTTGAAATATAGCCTTGTCCCCCACACTCTGCGAAGCATAATGCAGTGTGCATTCACATCAGCCAAGATGTCAGCGGTTGTGGTGCCAATTTAATGTTTCTGCGGTGGCAAGTTCTTACATAACCTTAAAGCAAAATTTTTCAATATGCTATGGAATGCGAAAGTGGGAAAAATTAGGCACGACTCCAGGCGTGCCACGGGAAATTTTGAAGATGGGCTGCACCTGCGGCAGGCGTAATTGCGAATTTTATAAGGGGCACGCAGAGCACGCACGCACACACGCGCACACATACACACACACAGACACACACACACATGCACACGCACAAACACACACACACACACACACGCACACGTGCACACGCGCACGCGCACACGCACACACACACGCACGCACACGCACACACGCACATACACACACGCACGCACACGCACACACGCACATACACACACGCACACACACACGCACACACACGCACACACACACACGCACACGCGCACACGCACACACGCACACATGCAAACGCACACACGCAAACGCACACACGCACACGCACACACGCACACACGCAAACGCACACGCGCAAACGCACACACGCACACGCACACACGCACACAAATGCGCGTGCCCAAGACGTTCTGATAACTTGTGATAAGAACCGTTCTGAAAGACCCGTTGAACGCAGAAAGAGCCGTAGCATTTGCGCAGCCTTCTCATATTTGTAATTGACCCAGGTGAACATGGTCTAGTACGCACTTTTGAGGTTGCTGCCAAACGCGAACCATATCTTTTTCACAAGGAATGTATGCCTTTATGTTCAGCATATTTATTTTAGCTCTCCTGCAATCATTTCTCGGTCATGATTGTTTGCAGTTCGTCGCGATTGTTGCTGTTGAGTACAATGTCTTCTACAAGGAGCATTTTGCTGGCGTATTATGGGTTAATAATTTTTTCTACTTTTTACTAATGCAGTGGTGTCAATGCTATTTCTAAGCAAGCAGTGGCCCACACTGGGGAAGCAGTATTTCTACGTCTCCCCCATTTCCATACCTAAATCTCATTGTTCTTTCTGTTGGACTCTAACGTAGCTGTGGAGTTTGTGTGGAGCTGTAGTGTTAGCCAAGGTGTTTCCGTGTGTTTTAAATACTCCTTGGTGACGTAACGCTTACAAGACAGCTCACTTCTCCGCTGGGTCGAATGCCTTTTCAGAATCATTTAGTGTTATATTGAGCAGGTTTCACAATTAAATTGAACGCAATGAGAAAAAGGTTACTTTCAAGAAGTTAACCTAGCCCATGTGCTATGGGTGTAAGTTAAGAAGTTATGGTCAATAGTTGCCTATAGTTTTATTCACGCAGTAGGTTTACTCCTTTCAACTTGAAAAATATTTGCACGAAAAACGCAAATGTAATGTAGTTAAAACGTATACCACACCAAAAAAAAAAATGAAAGATGCTAACCTTAAAACCTTAGCAAATGTTTGTTTTTAATTATTTGAAGGGGGTGGAAAGGAGGGGGTATTTCCACTAATATTTTTCAATACGCAATTAGTAAATTACTTTTCATGTGTTCACAGGCCCAAAAGTGTATGAGAAATGTCCTTGAAGCTAGCAAGAGGTAAGTCGTTCTTAATTTTTTCACATTTGCCCCCGTAACTGTGCAATTTCGTCTTTGCGCTTGCTTTTGTTTTTTTATATTAGGCAGGGGCTCAGCGAATGTGGGAATGTGAAAAGTGTGGCACACACTACTAGTTAACTTCGAGAATTCGAAGAGCACACTGTGTCAACTGGAATCAAGGCCCCATAAGCTTGCAAATCTCTCAAGAATGCCTTGTTTTTGCTACAGGGGTGCATGCCCTATACCCTATGAATTTATAATAAAGTGCGTTCTAGGTTGCTGACAAGTACAGTATCATGATGACTTCCAACGCGTAATAATTTTTAGTTGAACTACTGCTATACGTGATCTCTCAAGATAACCAGATGAAATCACAGCAAATGCCGTCTATAATGATACTGTTGACTCTTGTCTACGCAATTACGTCAAAATAACACCGATGTGACTCACACTGATGTTGGCAGAAAGGAAAGTCATGCGAATGACTCAGCCCCAATATGTTCTGTTTCAATCTGTGAAGTAATTTTTACGTATAAACGATTTCAACGGTCTTATTTTAAACCAATCGGTGCCAAAGCACCGATTACCTAAATTTTGTTTAACATGACATTGCAAAATAACGTGGTATCGTTTCGTTTTTTCTATGTTACTGTTGGTGAGAAATTAAATAAAATGAGCCATTCGTATTTTTTTTTTAAGTGCTGATTGTCAGGTTACGCGTATACAGCTGACATTGAAAACAAGATGCAGTTATAGTCGGCCCTCTAATCGTTAGGGCCATTAAGTGATGCAACCCTTTCATGCAGAAGCAAACAAGTGCAACAGTTTTAGCCTATGTACCATCTTTAGTTAAGGAACCTACCCCGAGGTCACAAGACCTGTTTCAACTGCCGTTGGCAGGGCCATTCAGCGGGTCGTCGCCTGCTGCCACTGGTGAAGAACGCCTGGAGCTGTGTCTTTTCCCAGCACCAGTCGTGCCGTCTGAGGGTGGCTCTTCTCTTTCTTTTCTTTTTTTGTGTGCTAAGAGACCTGACTGTGAGCGCCTTGCCGAAATGGGCTGCCGGTCCTCAATCTTGTAGCCGATCGCAGAACCTTTAAAGGAGGCGCCACTTCTTTCACAAGACCTTACGAAGTGCGTTAATTTGTGTGCCCTCTCCCAAAGTGGCTACCGACCCCCACGGGTCGTCGTGGCGGGGAAGCGCCACCGTAGCGGAGAAAAAGGGGGTGTGAGCCGCCCGTTGGTCATAAAGGTCGGCTGAAGGAGCATCCTTCTGAAAGCATCAATATAGCTTTATTTCAGCGTTGTCTCACTCGTCGACTTCCCGTTCTTCAACACTTGCTATCCACTCCTTTTAGCATGCACATCGATTTGCTCCTTCATGTTTTGTCGGTATGCGTAAGATGGGCAACAAGGAAGGTTTTGCCTGTTTTTGTACAGAAAACAGTCAGACATTGTTTAGGGAATTTTATGCACTGAGCAGCTCCGAGAGAGAGAGAGGGGAGGAGCAGACCGTATAATTTCATACAATACTATCTAGAGGGTAATCTGGCGCTAGTGTCTACGCGGTCTTCTTCAGCGGCGCTTGTACCCCCATGGGAATTATGGGAAGTACAGGCTTCAAATATGCTTCAGATGGATCACGTTCTTGAGATTCGCGACGCTTCTTTCCTGAGTGTAAAACAAAGTAATATGAAGGCATGTTTAATTCAAACTTGCTTCATTTTTTTTTGGATGCAAACTTTATTGTAAAAGGTCTTTGTGACTACGCAGTAGAAGTGAAACCTAGACAAATTTAACCATCAGGGTATGCATTGCTCTGCCGTTGCGTTCCAGATTTGGCATCAAGATGCAATGAATTATTCTTTACAACATTTCAAAACAAACATTGTTGTTTTGCCCTCGAAAGTACGCCATATCTATTTTATGGAAATAACAGCACAGTATTAAGTGAGGAACACTTAACGTTTCGTCTGCTGCGATGCCAGGTGCGTCTGTTCAAGTGGTCTCCCCCAACGCGCCTCCCGTTTTGTTGTGAATTCGAGTCAGGAGAGCGTGGCGGTATATCTCCTCGTTGCCGCTATTTTGTATTGTATTTAACGGGTTTTGGCAAGACGCACCAAAAACAAACGTGAACTCGATGTAATATCCTGCATTGGCATGGGATGCTACATCTATGCGCAGTGGTGAGGGGACGACGCTTCGCTTAAACTGCCAAAAACGACTTATACAGCTGCAGTGTTACAGTAAGTTGAGAGGACTAGTCATTCTCAGCTTCTTTGAACAACAAAGGCGCAGCTTCAGTCCTTTGAACCCACCCCACTACCCACTCTACGCGAAGAACGAAACTGAAACTGTAGAAAAAAATCTGTAGACAGTTCACTGGCTAACATGATCCAATCCGAAGCCTGTACTTCCCACAATTCCCATGAGGGTACACGATCACACGCCAGATTCTTCTCTGTCCCTGTCTTTTCTGTCACTAGGAAACTATATGGGCCAGACGAAGATTTCATTTATTAACAATTTCTGGTGTAGTGTATACCAGGACCACGATATGATTGTGTGGTGCGCCATAGTGAAGGGCTCCGGGAATTTCTGCCACCTGGGTTTAGTTAACGTTCACTGACATCGCACAGTAAACGAGCCTCTAGCATTTCGCCTCCATTGAAGTGCGACCGGCTCGGCCGGGATTGAGCCTGCGACTATCGACTCCGTAGCCCAACACCATAACCCCCATTCAACTGAGCAGGACGAAGATATTACGTTGGAATCTGCTCATTTGGCTTAGTCATGAGCTGGCCTGCGCAATCACTTCATTGCGTACATAATCCATTAACAAAATGTATTGGAGCTTATTAACTTTAGAACGTCATGATGTTTTGCATGTTTCTCATCTGAACGTATTTTCTAAGATTTAATTGTGACGGTAGTATTCACTGAGTTACCAACTTCGACGCAGTTATATTAATGCATCTACTTAAGTAATGTTCAAGGTGCAATAATCCAGTGTATTTGTTCTTTTCTAATAAATAGCGTTCCGGTTTTGCATAGGTGCGATAAACTCGAAGTTACACGAACAGTTGCATGACGAAACCATTATATTGCATTATTTTTCGCAGTTTTCAGCAATGCTCTGGCATGTTTTGCAAATCTTTATTTGTCACATTGTCTTCTTCAGTAATCTGGGGTAAACATGTACACATGAAATATTCTGCGTATGCCATTTCCCTTTGTAAGAGCAAGTGAATAAACATACCGTAATTGAAACCCATACGTTGCGAAAATATAAACTGTACCAATCTTACAATGTCAAATTTGGAGAAAAACAATCACCTTCTACATAAAACAGCGTGTCTTCCAGAGGGACAGCTGTAATTAATGCGGTAGTCGAGAATGTCATTTCCATGTTTTCATCGTCTGAAGGAAAACAAACAAACCAAACAAGTTTTTTAATATTTTACGGACATCATCGTTTTGGAAAAAGACTTTAGTTTCATACAAATTCAAAAACATGAGTCATTATCACCTATACATCAAGATGAACGAACGAGAACAGCTGAGAAAACTTGGAATAAATGGAACAGTAATATTGTTCCTAAAAATTGCATCACCACAAAAAATTTGCTTTTAGACCGAGTTGCGTCCCACCTTTTAGGGGGGCACCAACCATGGACGAAGCAGGGGGAGTCGTGGTGTTGTGACGCAATCAAAGATCGGTGAAACTGTGTGTTCACCATGACCACTCTTGTGGTTGTGGCACTAACCTCTCTAAAAAGAGCGCCCGACTCTGACGGTATACTCGATAGGGTGAACAGAGAAAATTTTCATCAAGCCCATGAACGTGGCCTGGCGACCTTAATGAATGCTACTCACAAAAGCCGGAGGCTAATAATGCCCTATCCAAGCATATAGCGACCAAATATATACGGATGACCTCAAAAATCTAGGAACACATGCACCAAGTTCAATGTCGTGCAAAATAAAACTGAATACATGCATCTTTCAGAGTGAATGATGGATATCACTCCTAGGATCTTGCAGCGCGGCTGAAAAAAAATTTCATACCAACAAATGAGGATAGCCTCGGGGTTCTATCAATGTATAAAATCCAGGTGATCGCACAGAGTTTGCGCTTTCTGCGTCAGCGGACCACATAGTGTGTAGGCTCAACAAGGAGCTCTAACTAAAGACCAACTGTATTACTAGATTCATAAACGTCGTAACTTGCGAAAATGCTTTAAAAACGCTGAACCGGTTTTACTGAAATCGAGATAATTCGTAGTTGCTCTGGTAAACATAAAATGCAGGAGCTAAAGCTTTCCCTGAATTTTAGATATGTAGCACGATACGATTTTCTTCTAGAATATTTGCAGGGTTGCAAAAATATTATTAGCTATAACAGATATAAAAACAGTCCACCGTTTTAGTTATGTTTTTCACACAATGCGAACGTCAATGCCGTTATTCTTGCATTTTATTGTACATATATGATGTTGGTAGCATTGAAGAGAAGACGTCTAAGTATAAACAATGCAAGAAGCATGTTTTTTATTTAGGTTATGAACTTTTTCTAAACTTTCTTTAACACTACAGAAGTCCTACAATCTCCAGTATCCAGTTCGGGACTTACGCAGGAATCAAAATTTTATCACACTTCCGTAAACAACGTCTTTTGAAGAATAGAAAGAGGAAATACCTTAAGTATATATTACAGCATATGCGTGTTTACAGCATACGCGTGTTTCTATGCGAGACATGTTCAGTGAGAAGCTGTTCACTGCACATATGCAGCCACTTGTGCTACGAACTCAATACAGAAGTAGTAATTGCATTGATGATAGTCCTGACTGCGTTAGAAGGTAGCTGTAGGTTAGTATTTCTTCTAAGCAACTATACACTACCTGACCTCAAAAACAAAGGCACGTTATATGAATTTGAAACGCATCCAGCGTAAGCGAGCCAGCTGACAGGCTGGATAGAAAGGACAATTACAAGCACAGTGCTACTCTGAATAACAGATGCAAAATCTTAAAAAGCATTTTCCGCTGGTTTTATTCAAAATAGCCGGACATTATATGACCGGCGCTCACCTGGTCGGTATTCACGAGACTGCGTACCATTGCACTGTGTAGCACTGTTCAACTTTCAGCATTAGCTTTAGTGGAGATATATTAAGAGATAGGTTGCAGGAATTCCATCACATCACACACACAGAAAGAGAAGGTGTGAAAGGAGGACAGGGAGCACCGTGCTTAAATTAGTGAATAGTGTAGCATTGCAGACATATCACAAGAAAAGAGGCAACACAGCTGGTATTGTTCTTTAGAAATAGTCATTTGCTTTGCAGGCATATGCACAAGTTTACTGACTCTATCCGCTGCCAATTTCTCTTTTTTCAAGCTCCCATGGCAGTCATCGTTCTTGCAGTGTGCACTACTAGCGTGGCACAGATGAAAGCAAAAAACTCCAGTTTAAGCAAAGGAGAAGAAACGCAGGACGAGAAAACTGATGGTGTAAGTCGGTTACAATATCTTTAAGGAAGCATGTTAACTAGGCAGGAAATGAGCACTAGCTAAAATATAGTAGGCTGCAGCACAGCCTACCCAGCCAGCAGCATTGATGACCAAATACTAAAATGTGCTCTCAAACACTAAATATGTCGTTTCTAATACTGGTAAGCAACGAGTGCCTCAACACAGCGTCCCCAGAAGTACGAAAGGTCGTGTATCACCGCAATAGGAACTTTGAGAGCATGTTTGAGGATGAAAAAGTAAACTCTCATTCGTCTGCCCCCATGACACCTTACTCTCGACCAAGATGTAAGACTTGCAAATACCTTGAAGATGAAAGTGGCACAAGTGATTACAATCACCTTATAAAACCAGTTTTACTTGAGCTAGTTCAAACGTTATTTACATGATCAAGTGTTTGTGTGGTCACAAATGGTACAATGGTGTCACGGGACAGCTTCGTAAAACGAACGAAACGTATAAACGGTACATTGGCGAAATGAACGGCAAATTAAACGGGCATCGTGCAGACACAGCGAAGAAATTACTGATCGCAGTGGGCCAACATTTAATGTATCAGCAGGCAACAACTTTTATTATCTGAAAATTTACATACTTCAGTCGAACTTCCCGTCCCCACGAGGCAGAAACTATACAGTCATACCTTATTCACAAGTTCGATCAATTCCAGCCAGAAGATACGAACGTTCCCAAGGGGGCTCTTGAATCCATCCTGTATGGTACATACATTTCAAAAACCAATGAAAGTTCATTTTTGTAGGAATTTCTAACCTACTATTGCCAAATGATGCCTCCTATGATAACCGTAATGCAGGGGAGCATCTGAACCCCTTCATCTCAGCTTTTTTTTCTTTCTTTCTTTCTTTTTCACGGAATACCGTTTATTACGACTCCCCCAATTTGTCCCGGTGTCCTCTCCCTCTTTGCTCCTTTCGCAGATGTCATCCCTTTCCTATGCGTGAGTTTGATGAGAGGGTACGAAGCATGTACAGACAAGTGCTAAAGAAATCAGTTCCAACCTTGACGCGACAAGTACACTTGCTGAAACGTCGGCTCCAGCGTGCACACACACTCAATGAATTTCCGGAGCCTTCCGTTACGGCGTCTCTCATAATCATATCGTGGTTTTGGGGCGTTAAACTCTACAAATCAATAAATCATCAAAACACACACACACACACACACACACACACACACACACACACACACACACACACGCACACACACACACACACGCACACGCACACGCACACGCACACGCACACGCACACACACACACACACACACACACACACACACTGTTACGGATTTTTCGCATCGCAAGCTTCCTTTTTTTTCTTTCTTGCATTTTTTTATTGGTATATAGAGCAATATCATATTGCATATCCTTCAATTTCAACAGTAGCTAAATTTTCCCGCTCAATTTTGATCCAGCCACCACTCAAATTGATCCAAGTGCTGGTCATATTAATTCAAGTGCCTCTGAAATTAGTATAACCACCAGCCAATTTAATTCAGACGCCAGCAAACTTAATTCTGACCAAGGTGGACGATTGGGCCACATCACGACCTCAAAGCGACCTAGAATTTTCGTGAACGTGCGGAGTGAATAACCTTAGAGCAAATTTAAGGAGAAGTATTATCAAGATGTGCAGAATAAACAATAAATGAAGCACTAGTGATCAAGTCGCTTGGCCTATTCTTAGGTGTAAAGTTCCGGCTCTTTCAAAGACGTTTCGTTTAATATGCATGACGGCAGGTTAACACATTGCGTGTGTGGTAGATATGCGTGATGACGTCACCTGAGTCACTTGTGAGCAGGTCATTGGCCTGGGCAATAGGTGTGAAGTTATTACTGTGAGGACGGCGTTTCCTTTGATATGCATGTGGAAGGTGGGAATAGTGCATACGCGGGTGATAGGCGTGATGAAGTCACACGAGTCACACAGTGTCACTATTGACTCATTCACTGTTTATTCTACACATTTTGATAATATTCCCCCTTCAGTTCACTACAAAGCTATTCACTCCACGCGTTCCCGGAAATTATGGGTCGCCTTGAAGTTACGATGTAGTCAGGAATTCATTCGCTGGCATCTGGATTAAATCGGCTTGTGGTTCGATTAATTTCCGCGGCACTTGGAGAAAAATGATTGGCACTTGAATTATCTGAGTGGTGGGTGAATTAAATTGACTGGCACCTAGATTAATTTGGCTCACGCTTAGATTAAAATGAGTAGCAAAACCTGTAGTAATTCACCCAACAAGGCTAAACAAAGGGAAATAAGGATGGCAACGAGTCGTAATAATTTCAAAAGAATTTAGAATAAACTTCAAAATAGCGAGCATTAGCTATCGGTTGACTTTCTTACAGTGAGTATTTTCTAAACAATGAATATTTTTTTCAATGGCAAGTGGACGCCGAAGTTCACTTTTTACGTGGTTGTTATCGTGTCATACTTCAAGAAATACCGAGCAGAATGAGAAGTCAATGGAGGGAGGGAGGTTCAAGAAAGAAAAGAGTTCGTGACTCTGCTGGTGGATATGAGGGGCCAAAATAAAAAAATCACGCATATCTACGAAGTGAATGCTGACTATGGGGCGAAGTACTATGAAGCATATACCGTCAATCATGCGAGAAATGAGAATGTTAGATAAATGTTGCCGCACTCTCTGCTCCAGATCTGTTTGTTGGCGTTGCCGTGTAGCTGCAGCTTCATGATTTCTCAGCTCGAAAACGAAGTAGCGGCTTTGCCGCCGAGCCGCTGCATGGAGCGTCTTACGTTTGCTTTCTTTCATCACAGCGGCACCACTGCGGGGAGCGCACGCTCGTATCAGCGACCCCTGACAGAATGGTGCTGTAACGGAGTTAATCGATGCGGTTGCTTTTCGCACTGCGCCGCACAGATGGCGCATCTGCGCTTTGACTGTGCACTACGGCCCACAGACAAATTGAAAAAGCAGGGTCATTACTAGGTCTGAAGATGCTTCGTCGATAAAAAAAAAAAAACAAAGACCAAGGGTAGAGAGAGACAACGCCAACGGCTCGCACAGAACGTAATGCGCAGCAAGTCTACAAATGGTCACAGAATCAGGTCTATTAGGGTGAGATTAAAGTAGTGGTGAAGGTAGACCACTGTGCAGGCCTGTCTCGCCGATGAGTTTTTCGCTGAGCCCTGGCTTGATGCACCGGGCCGGACTCGGACTCGCTTATTAAGGCATTTATGTCAGGCATTCAAGTTCACGCAAAATTTATGCACTGCATTGTCCAAGAAATCCTACGCCAAGCTGACGTCACACGTGCCAATAGCAACTGCTCACTGTACCTTTGCAAAGAAAATAGAAAAGCATATGAACTTCTAACTTAGACTCTTTTCAAAATAACAACAACAGAAAACGAATATTGTTTCCTCATGAGGAAAAGTAAATTATCCGAAAACATTTTTCGGACCATTCCCTCGTAGTTTTCATAACATCCGCGAGCTCCAGCATATAGCGAATTGGTGCAGCTGGGCACGTAATGCAGTAGAAGACATTTGTCTAAGCGAAACACCTGGACAATCTCCTGCTTTTCTACAACAAGGTGTAATTTTTTGCCTTCTGCTGGCATTTTCCTAGCGCTATTGTTAGGATATTGCTTTGCAGTGTAGTCTTTGGGCACAGCGTTATATTTTAAGTGCATTTTATGCCTTTTTTGTAAAAAAAATTTCGAGAAATATTCGTGAGATAAAAAGGTGTGTGGCTTGTACTAGTGGCGAAGGCTTGAACCAACAGCGGAGCTGCTCATCGACCTCCCTTCTTGTAAATTTTGCTTGTAACGTCAAGCTTTTGCTATCGATTCAAAATGTATCCGCACGTTTTAGCGAGAACATGTGACGTGACTAGATACCACGTGATATTAGTCACATGACTAGTTGTAACTTGATAATACGTGGTCCCGTGAAGCTACAATTAAGATGGGGGAGGTAGCTGCAGGTCTGCCAGATGGTTGCTATAGTGGTAAATAAAATAACAGATTACGAATCAAAACACTTAGCATAAATATAATTGAATAAATTTGGTACTTCGAGCTCCAGAAAATCAACTGAGAAATTACAGGAAAGTCATATGGCGTTGCACGTTAACTTGCAACAGGTATTTTTTTTTGAAGTTGCCGTCACTAATCGTTCTACGTTTCCTTGTTAAAAGACCAGCTTCTTCACTGAGCACTCTCCAAGTGCATGTGTTGTAGGAAACGGTGATATTATAGAAACACCTTGCACACCAGCTCGTATTTGCGCAGTAATTCGATGCTAATGTTCATGTCCTCTGTGAATATTTATACGTAACACGTCAAAAGTAATTGGTTATTTGTAATTAAGTACATTTTTTGAATTTTTTCAGTTATACTTGATTATTTTCTCGAAACTATGCTCTGAGTATTTAAATGGAATTTTTTTGTTACTGATTACTGGTAATCAATATATATATTGAAGCATTCCGCTTCAAAAATGTTCTTTCAAACAGAGGTTCCTAGAGAGCGTATTCTATCACCTTGGTCTTGGCTTCACGTGATGCACCTTGCCTGATTGCCAGCAACAGCGAAGTACGATGCTTCATACATGGCATGTACACTGCGATCGAAGCACTGTATACAACTGTGAGCTGGTGCGGAAGGTGTCCCTAGTTTATAATACAGCTCTTCTCTCCAGTGAAAACACTGGCATGTGTAAGTGCACAGTGTAGTAGCTGAACTTTTAGCGAGCCAACGCAGAAGAATCAGTGACGAAAATTTCAGAAAAGAACTCTTGTTGAGAGTTAACAACGTGAAACACTATCACTGAGACAACTGTAAGCTTTCCTGACTCCACGCAAGCCTCCACTTCTCTCTTTACAAGCCTTCTCTCTCTCTGCTCTAGTGGACCCAGAGGCAACCCAAGTTCAAGACATTTGACTGAGCTGGTGCTGCCACAGCACTAGAAAATACTTTTAATTGCATCATGTTGAAATAAACGAAAGAAGGGGAGTGAAACAAGGGCTTGCTTTTTTGTCTATAGAGGTTAAGAAAACAAACATACAAATCTTTATTATTAGTGACAAATTATTTGTAGTATTTAACTGTAGCGTAGCAGTTATCACATATATAGAAGGAATTGAAGTGGACAAAAAAGAAAATTTGCTGCTGTAAGGCATTGAACCTACCACCTTCGACTAAAGCGTAGCAAGCGTTATGCCACCTTTCATAAATGACCAGCATCGGACCACCACGTCGGATGCACTCGCCCTCCATCACGAAATCCCGTGATGTTACATGAATGGCTGTCTGCGAGGAAGAGAAAGCGTATTCGCCTAAAATTTGTTTGTACTGCTGAACATTCATTGACACTGACCATCTAAAGGGGCAAATTAAGTTAGGCAAAAGCACATGTTTAACCTACATGCTTCTTTCTACAGCTGCAGTTCTTGATCACTTAATAACCACTTAAAACTAATCACGTAATAAATTATTGCGTCACATACCCCACAATGTAGTCTTTTTAGGACAACCACTCTATGGTTTTTGTATTTTCCGTTATTCACCGTCTGCTCATTCCTTCAACAGATATGGCCGCTCAAGTTTTCGCTCAAGTCTATTTCGCTGATCAAAGACATGCGATGCTACACTGGTGTGGGCTGTTTCCGCAAGGATGACAAGTACAGGCTAACACACCCGCTTTCGCTCCCCAGGCGGCCAAGGTACGTGAGGACTAAGTTTTACATCTACTCTCGTAACAACACAGGCGGCCGGAGATTGCGAACGAGATTTCTGCGGCGAGACGGGAAGCCATTTTTCCAAGAACGTAAGGATCTCATCATCATCGCACATGGCTACACTCAAAATGTCAACAGTAGCTGGCTCCATGAACTCAAGGAGGCTCTACTGCAGGAGGTACGCCAAACAGCCCTCGTTTCAGAGCTCGTGTGCTCATGGCATTTTTTTTCTTCCCGCTAACGCCGTCAACCTAAATGAATGCCTACCAGCGTGCGTGTGTCGCCGCTCGTGCATTTTCGTTGCTCTGTACCACTCTGTACCCACACGTACGAAGCTTGAACAAACGAACGAACCGTCTTATAGGGATAGAAGACTGCACATAATCATAGAGAACTGCATATGACCATTCTGCCGACCACAATTCACCCTACAAAGACCCATAGGGGGGGGGGGGGTTGCAAAGCTGACTATTCTTGTGTCTCATGTGTGTCTGCGCACTTGTGTGCGATGGTGCGTGCATGTGTGTGCATGTGTGTGTGTGTGCGTGTGTGCGTGCGTGTGTGTGTGTGTGTGAGAGAGAGAGAGAGAACCCCCAGCGCGCGCTCGGTGACAGCTTTCTTTCGCACGATTACAACAGATAACACGTTGAATAGCACACTTGAATTACCTATGAGCCTGTTATCGCCTTGAATTATATCTAAAAAATAAGCATAGCTTGCGCACCACAAAATAAATTAAAAAGCTAGTGAATGCAGCTAGTCAGTAGGTTTCCATAGTTCAATGAGCGCTAAGTATAGATACGGACAATAATAAACAGAGGCCCAGCGCTGACTGCGAACTGTTTCGTTTAATGAAAAACGCGCAAATACAGATTGAAACGGTATAATCGGGGAGGGTGAACATATTAGATCTTTTGGCAGTGCCTACGTTCAGTGGCACATGATTGGCCTAATTCATTTTGTTTATTGACTATACATTCACTGCGCTAAATGTGTCTGCTTACCGCGCTTTTAGGAAAGGGGGGTTTTTGGCCCATACAAAGAGCAGACTGCACGTGAAGTGTATGTGGCTTTCGCGACGACGCGTGAAAATGAAGCATATGTAAGTGCGCCTTCGAAAACTCTAGCAGGGAAGTAGTCAGCCATCAAAACTAATCTCTTATAAGTAAACAATGTGTGGCAGTACGCAGGTGCCTCCAGAAGAATTGATATGTTTTATTTCCCCGAGTTTTCCAATTCAATGTATAATCGCCTGTTTTTTTTAACAAATCAAGCAGTTAGTACTCAGCGCTTTTCATTTGTGCATTCTTGTCTGTGTCTACTTAGCGCTGTTTTTAACTACTAACAATAGGACCGCAAGGCAAGGACATGGGGAAGTGACCATTGCATACTGTGCACGTGAATAGCCAATGCACGTTGCTTGTTCTTTAAGCGTGGTCATCATAAGTTGACAATAAATTCTGCAAACAAGGACAGTCAATTCTCCCAAAGTACATCAGGTAGAGAAACGCTCATCAAATCAGAAATAGGTTAATCAAACCAACGGTAAAAAATAGCAGGGGGTTTCGTTCGTGTGTACTTTTTGTGATAACAGTCAGGTAGATACACTCAATTAAGGTCACTTTGTGTAACAGTTTGTAGCAAATCTTGTTGGGTTGGCGATAACTGTCGCGTCATTTTTCTCATTCCTATAATCCACAGTGCCAGAATACTTCAGTTACACCCTCAAACTGCCGTTAACCTGCCCTCCCGACCATGACAAATTCTTCATGCGCGTTGCACTGCATATTTTATCAGTTGCGGCAAGAATTCGCAGCTGTTAGTATTTAAATTCCTGGTAATTTTAGTCAGCCTGGAAGATCCCACCGCCCATGACAATGAAGATCTGAAGACTGATGTTCTTGTTATGGCATGAGAAAACATAGCTTCCTAAGTATGAAGCCTTCTCATTCAGTATTTTCTCCTTAAATTGAAGATCACGATTAATCTTCAGATGGCTTCTCTGTTCATTTATGGACACTGCATTAAGGTTCTTGCTCACCCTTTGAATGCAGAAAGACTGCAATGTGGTGATCGTAGACTGGGGTCGTGGCTGCCGGTCACCCTTGTACCTAACAGCTGTGGGCAACACGGCCCTGGTGGGCCGGCAGATATCTCTGCTTGTGCAGAAGCTGTCCCGGAAATTTGGTGGAAATGTGACGGCCACCAATGTGCACCTCGTCGGCTTCAGCCTGGGCGCCCAAGTGTGCGGCTTCGCGGGCCGTCACTACAAAAAACAGACTGGGACAAAGCTAGCAAGAATTTCGGGTAAGACGCGTATCCTTTGACGACGCGTCATACTTTTCTCACCAGGTGATTATGGAGGAATCAATGTGACACTCCAATATTAGCGTTTACTGCGAAGGCGAAATTTTGCAAGAAATCGTGTCCTTATTGTTCAAACCATTATGGGGACAGGCTAGAGCTTGCGCTCTATAGGAGAAGTACGACCAGAGCCTAGCAGGTGTAATTAGCCGCTCAGTAGCACTGCGCTTATCTGCGTTACATTGGTAAATAATGACGAGCACCATGTATCCTTCGCTGCAATGTTATTTACGCGAACAGTGTATGTTTAAACGCGTTCTTCTCGTTTTCAGCAATTTCTTCAACTGCGAAGCCCCAGTAATTGCACTCATACAATGACGTTGTACAATGAAAATGTTCATCTAATGCGGCGACGCATTCTGAAAATGATAGCGCTTGTGAACACGGACTATATACTAGAAAGGCACACGGTCATACAGACGGAAGCGCTTCACGGCGAAGAATTGACTAATGGTGATACAAACGGCGAAGCGTTCGTCGTATAGACCCTTTCACTGTTTACCTTGATGACATGCGGTTTCAACAACCGATGTGCCCTATTAGCATCGGTGGGTAAGAAGAGCGTTAGAAAATAGCCCGATGATTTTCTACACATTCCTTCCCTTACTTGGCAAAATATATTCAAATAACTCTTTGTTTGAGCTACATAAAAGTTTAAAAAGATTCTTTTAAACATTACGCACGATCTTTTTATCTGAAAAAACTAATGGGAGACTTTCCTTACTCTTGAAAACACGTGAAAACGTCCTCTAAGTTTCGACTTTAGGAGCTGGTAAATGAGGTTACTGAAAATTTTGCTCGGGCACAACGCTTGCGATCTCGAAACCGTCAATACAAATGCATCAAACGAAGCGAGTGGTTTATATGTGTAAATGTAATCGGCGTGAAAACCCTGCATTGCGGTAATTTTGGGTTTGGATAGCATGCCATCAGAATTAACAAACAGTTTTACAAGTCGTCTTGCTGCAATCGTATTTTCTGGCCATCAGTCAAAACGTAGGTGAAAAAAAAAAAAACGGATCCTTCGCTATATTTTTCGCCTGGTGGACGCTACGCCAATTAACCCATATTTGCATTCATGTTGAAATCGTAATGCGCATGAAATACAAGGCAACAGACACACTAATAAACACGATGCCTGCCTCTCTCTCTCTCTTACACACACACACACACACACACACACACACACACACACACACACACACACACACACACACACACACACACACACACACACACACACACACACACACACACACACACACACACACACACACACACACACACACACACACACACACACACACACACACACACACAGAGTGTGTGTGAGAGAGATAGAGTCTGTTTACTTCAATTAAACTTTTTTTTTCTTTTCGTGCCACTGTGTGCTACTTTTGACAGAAATAACATATTGCACCTTGTACTGGCGTTCTTTTTCTTCTATCTTGAACTTTCACCGTGCCGTGATAATCCCGTTTAAGCCGTAAATATCCTGCTCCTGGGATACCACCACCGAGATATAAGTGATGATCTTTAGTCTACATAGCCTCGAGCCGTTGTCGCATAAACATGAGATTCCACGATGCTCCTAACTTCTATTGGTCCTGTTTTCCTGCTTCAGCTGTTCCGCGTCCGTGTGTGCCAAAATTAGAAACTAGGAGCATCTTCAGGCTTCTGAGCACGCTCAAGGACGCCATTGACAGCACTTGCCTGGAACGGTTTTTTTTATACAAACGAGTACCAAGAGATGCAACATTGAAACACAAGGGCTCTAACTTTCCCATCCCGACAAAAAAATTAAAAAATGGATAAAGTATCGCTTGTATAGCTATATATGCTGTAAAGAGCTATTCTCTATTGACTTCGACCACCCGTGGTTCAATAAGAGGCCGCCAAGATCTTTCTGTACGGCACCATTTGCCGCAAAATAAAAATGAAGCCACCAGTGCCAGAATCAAGCTGTTGACCTCGGAATGAACATATGTAGCTGCTGCTTTTCTTTAGCTGCCGTTCGTCTTGTTCATCATATGCGCTGCGCGTGCATGCAGCCCTGGATGCGGCACGGCCGCTGTTCGAGCAGTCCGAGGTGTACGTGTCCCGCACCGATGCCGTCTTCGTCGACGCCATCCACACAAGTTCGGGTTGGACAGTGCTGCAAAAGTCTCTCGGCATGGGCAAGCCCTACGGACACGTCGATTTCTACCCAAACGGCGGAAGAGATCAGCCCGGATGTGGAGGTCTTCTCGGTGGGTGTACCTCAAAAGAATGGCTAGTTGGGCGAGTTGGTATGATATGATCCATAATGTACTGCGCAAAAAACGGACGGAGACACGAAAGGAAAGAAAAGGGCAGACAAGCGGAAATGTTTTTTGCGCAGTACATTATGGGTGTACCTCGCCCACACATTTGTTCACGTAAGCGCCATGCAGTCTAGCTTAATTGTGCGATTTTCGTTCAACCTTTCTGCTACTTCAAGAAAAACGCCCCTGTGAGTCACCACCCACCACCAAAAATTCTTTAGAGATTTCTCTGTGGAACGTAGCTTTCTTGCACTGTGTCAACATGAATGTCGGCAACTAAATCTGGCCAACTTATTGAATACAGGTAATAAAGAATCAGTGTGCGAAGGTCACGTATATAAAAACAAGAACAGTCGCCGGATGTAGTTTAGTCCAGCGGTAATACAGGCCTAATGTATTCTAGAAAAAAAAAAAGGCAGTTCCGACGTTGCATGGGAACTGATGTTGTGCATTCCTTAGCGAACTTGTGAGACTTTGAGCAGATCCATTCATCCATCCATCCATCTGTTCGACCGTCCGTCCGTCCGTCCGTCCATCCGTCCATCCATCCATCCATCCGTCAACCCACCTACGACTTTTGGCTCTCCTGGCCATCTCGATAATGGTATCAGTACTAAAATTGGCATGGAATAACATGACGCTATATGGAGCGTAAGTGAGTGGCCATAACATAAAAATCATGACATGTATGTGATGAACCTCACGATTTACATTTCATGGTGTTGCTGCTCTAGCGGTGGTTTCGTTCACATGACATTTAGCAAAACCGGTGTGGTACGACATGACTGCATGGCGAACATAAGTGACAGACAATAACACAGAAATCATGAAATGCATGTCATGATTTTTTGTAATGACCAGTCATGACTACACGCCATGCTAATGGTGTGCTCGCGGTCGCTTTGCTAGCTGCACATGTAACAAGTTGGGTTTTACATGACGTTAATGAACGACGAAGGTAAACGGCACGTCCAAACATGATAATCTTTATACGCATGTCGCATACAACATGACTACATGATACGCTCATAGCGTGCTCGCGGCCGTGTTGCTAGCTCCGCATATACCAAATTTGGTATCACATGACCTAAATAGACGACGAAGCTAAATAGCACGTCCACACATGATAATGGTGATATGCGTGTGATGTACAACATCACTAAATTCTACGCTCATAGCGTGCTCGCGGCAGTTTCACTGGCTCCTCATATCACGCTACGTGAGGCTAAATTTCGTATCACGTAACGTGAATGGATGACGAATGTAAATGACACATCCAAACATGACAATATTGACATGGAAGTCATGTAAAGCATAATTCACGTTCGCCTCGTACCGTTGTGCTCATTTTAAAGTTACATATTTTCATGTAGGTGTTGGTGTTAGGCGTACCAATATGAACCTTCCTCATTCGTGCTTCGCATGTCATCGATTCCCCCAGTACGTGGAATCTGCGAATTTTTCATTGAGTAAAACGTTACGAAATCAGGCTAGAGAGATGTAGAAATGTTGTACGCTCAGACATATGACCGTCGCATATGTCTTATATAACAACTTGATTCCACTTGCGTAACGACGCCAACAGTCAGTCAGTCAACAAACTTCATTTGGTTCCTAAGAAGCTATACAGCCTCGTAGTTGCGGGCGGCAACCCACGTTGTGGCCGGAAGACCATGGTCCTCCGCCCGCTCTTGGGCCATTTGGACAGCCCTTAGTTGTTCATCTATATAGAGATCACCGTTCTTGAAGGTTTCCTTCCAGTCCTCTTATTTATTAAATGAGGTATTTAGTAACACTGAACATATCCACGGCATGTGAGCTAATGAGCGATACTCTTAACGATGCCAACAGTGACATAGTCATTACCGACACCAGAAGTGGTATGCGGCAATCTGTAGCGCTTGTGCCTGCGAAGATGGCAGCGCTGGCTAGTGCTACGTAGACCATTTTAAGTGGAAGGCGCTTTAATGTACAATTGAGGTTAAGCCGACGTGACGCCTGTGTGATAGGAGTACATATGTAAAGTTTAAAAGGATAGCCAGCAGAGCAACTACAATTGACGTTTCACCAACATTGCCTCTTCAGAAGGTGTTTTTCAACAGCGGTTTCGAGACCTGGCGTGGCTCTGTGATGCAATACTTGATAGCCACGCAGAATGCTCGGGTTCGGTTCCTGCTGGGACCTCGATATGTAACCTTTGCATTCGTAGGGTAAACGCTGCCGATATCCGCTTTTTTACGTTCTCGCACATACATTACTAATGTCTGTTCTCACCGTTCATGAGTAGTTATGAACTGCCAATCAACTGTGGTGCATGCCCACATACTACGGCCTGTAGTATACGGGTATGTACCGTACATTCCTGTACAAAAAGACAAAAGAGGTTCACGAATTTAGCGACAAGATTTTTGCTTTGTTCATCTCAGGACTCGTCAAACGCAATCGTAAAACTTTGTTACTTTCCAATACTAATTTTTGTCTACCCACAGTTAAGGAGGTGACAACGAGAGCACCCGGATGTAGGCGGCTAGATATAGAGATAAATACGTTGATAAAAAAGCTGAATGTACCTGCACTACGCAAAGAAATGCTTCCCACTTAATATAAACTTCGAATCCCCTGTGGCACATACCCGCCTACCACGGCCGTGGTACACAGGTATGTGTCACACGTGTCTGAAGGAAAGGGTTCGAGGGCGTAAGCGACAGGATTTTCACTATATTCATGTCATGACCAGCCAGGAATGAATATCCCTGGCTGGTCATGTCAACCCTCTCACCCACTCATACTTATTTTGGTCTACCCCATGCTTAGGACGCAATCACGAGGGCAGCCAGACGTAGGCGGCTGGGGATAGATAGATAGATAGATATATAGATAGATAGATAGATAGATAGATAGATAGATAGATAGATAGATAGATAGATAGATAGATAGATAGATAGATAGATAGATAGATAGATAGATAGATAGATAGATAGATAGATAGATAGATAGATAGATAGATAGATAGATAGATGCTCTCAGTGTCCTTGCAGTTCCCTAAGAAATACTTCGCATTTAATGCAATCTGTTGAAGCAAGCCTCCTGCTCTCTCAGTATTTTCGTCCTATAAGTGTAAATTTTACAAGAAACTCACATAATCATTATATACAGATAGTTACTGAAAACGTATAAGCATGTTAATTTGCTAAGTGTAGACTAAATTGACTTTTAAACTATAGACCCTTAGTCAAAAGAACAAATCTAAGCCCGGACACAAATTGAGCACAGTGGTCCATATTTCAGGTCTTAGGGATCAGACAGTTTCCGGACCGATTCAATTCAATGATTGCTGTCCTCAGCTCATGACACTTCGTGACTCTGTGGATGTTTAGGTGACATCTACAAATAAGTCGCGATTCGCATTTGTGTTTGTTTCTATACACGTGAAGCTCAATGTTAAAAATCAGGTGTTTACCAATGATTGATGTAAATTTGCAGTCGCCTCAAGCTGCTCCTGCATAGATAAAAGATCACTATCTGTAGTCGACTGCACATTTCGGTTTGGCCAACCACCACCACGCAAAAAGTAAACTCATGACGCGTGATGTAGCGTAGTTTATTACTTGCATGCGCTTGAAGTTGGTCAATTTGACAATGTCTTTTTATTTTAAATAAAAAATAGCCCCAACGGCATCAGACATCTTTTAAAAACAAAACAACCTGCATCCAACGGCTTGTACGGTGCACCTACAGAAATAATTAATGCTTTAGAAATTTCTTATTAATAATGATCAGCAGCATATAATATCAGCGACAATCGAGTTAAGTTCATTTGCACGACGCGCTGTATTCCAGCAGTCTCCAAACTTGCACTATTTTGTGCGTTCTATTCCAGAGATTGACTGCGATCATGGTCGGGCCCCACTCTATTACATTGAGTCTCTCAAGTATCGTCACCAGTGCCGCTTCCTGACATATAAGTGCAAGGGCGGAATCGATGCCTTCCGCAGCGGCCTTTGTGATCCTGGTCAACCCAGTGGTGAGATGGGTTACTACAGCAATCAAGCGCCTGGAAGGGGCCTTCAGTTCACCAAGACCAACGAGGAATCACCATTTTGTCTGCCAATGAATATGTGATGAGCTGCCAAACGAGAACACACGGCAAGAATAAACAGATGACCCGCTTCGCCGGATAGACTGCGCTGCTTAAGGATCAATGTTTACCTTTCGTTTAACCAGCGCCTCCTCTATTTTTCAATGCCCCCCAAATGCACCTGGTTAAGCCATTCACTCACCTCAAGCCCTTTCCTACTCTCGCCCATCACCTAACCTTTGCGTGTGCCTGGTTCATGTGGTAAAGTACCCTTTAGGTGGTACTTCCCGACAGAAATCAGATGAAGTACTATTCCGTTTGGTTGGGTACAGGTCCGTGGGGCGGCGTCTTGCATTCCTCATGTTTACCATATTGATGGTCACACTGGCTCTGTAAGAGGCACGTTGTTTTTACATAGCACGTGTCCATTCGGGGTGCTATGCTGGAAGTTAATGGAGATGCGTCACTGTGACGCTGCTGCATGCGATGCCCTAAAGAAATGTCACACGAGTGCTGTGAGCTGGCGACGGCATTGCTTTGCATCACATAGAAAGCGCCCGAAGGTACAAAGCTGACAGACAGAGAAAGAAAGCACGCCTATCGTATCCCCGTGTGAAAGCACTCGGACCCACGTGTGATGCAAGCCGCCCTGCCCCTTCGTGCGGTGTCGCATCACGACCACTCCCTGAACTGAAGCGGACTGACGGCTCCCATTGAGGAGAGAGCATTTGCACTGGCATTGAAAAAAAAAAATACATCAGGCCTGCGCGGAAGGCGCAGCACAGTCACAGTGAAAGCTAGAAGAGCGGTCTTTCATAGCCTTTTGAAAACCCTCATTGGGTAACTACTGCAAGCAGACTTGCTTGATACCCACTAGGGCACTAATAATAAAATTTTCGGTAGCAGAAAAATAGAATAGCATTCGCTATTCTATTTTTCGGCATTCTTCTGAGAAGCGCGGTATCCGCTAAACACTTGCAAGGAATTGCGAAACACTTCCCAATTGCCCATGCAGTGGCTGACGACGACGAGGAATTATGGCTGCAGTGGGTATGCGGCACGGTTAATAGGGAAACAAGAACAAGATTTTGTAATGGGTTGGAGCATCGGATGGCCCACTTCTTATGCTAATCGCATTGTGTGATGAATGGTTGTTCTTTCGCTGTTTTAAAACGCTTTTTAAGTCATAATAACGCGATAGCTTTCCCGACATCAAGCCTGCCTAAGGCAAGTTTGACGATAAGTCACAAGCACCAGTGTAGCTCATTGGTAGAATATTGGGCTGGCACCCACGGGACTCAGGTTCAAGCCTCACTATGTCATTGGTGCAAGTTTTTTTTTCCTCATTTTGCGCGATGTGGTCACGGACACCGGTAGCGGTGGTGGTGGTGGCGGTGGCGGCGGACAACACACAACTGCGCGTGACCCGAAAAGTGATCTCATAACAGCTTTCGCTGTAAAAAAAAATAGAGAGAAAAGGCGTGTTTAACCTTCGTCTCATATCTCACTGACTGCATCTATTTCGTATGGACTGAACAAAAACGCCATATATGGGTGGTGAAATTTTATTAGGAGTCCTGAATGATTGTTTCTTTTTTTCACCCTTTATTTTTTTGCTGGCCACATTTCTACGCAGGCGGATCACGTGTGTGCTTGTGTGGAAGAATAAGTGTGCCGTACGGTCACGACACTGTTGGAGGACAATTAACTGACATAGTTAAACTGGGTATAGTTGAACAACGATTATGCAGTAATTTAGTTTAAATTGGCCATTTCATTGCTGCACGAATTATGTGGTCTGAGGGGAGTGCCGTGTTTTGCTCGATTTATTTATTGCGGAAGAACTTTCTGAACGGAAAAGAAATACAGAAATGTGTGAACACCCGTTGCGTCTCTGGAAAGACTACGCTTCCTCTCGTGGTCATTTCCTCACGCAACGGTGCACTTATATGCATAATAGAAACGCACTCAGCTGTCGTGGAGCGAGCTGAAAGCTTGAAGGCAGCGCGCGGAACTTCCGCCGACTAATTCGCGTGCAGCTCCCCTCCGACCAAGTGGTTTACATCGTGGGGCAAACACGTGCTTTCCATCGTCAGGAGAGCCCGAAGAATGAGCACTATACAGCCGCCGTTACGTGACTGCTACGCCTGCGGATACTTTCACCGTATTGATGCATTCATCGACAGCTCACGCTGACGGTCATTGGATCTCATTTCCATTAACCTTACTTGGACGGTGTGCATACCCAAATACGAGATTCGCGTCGCTACATCCGAAAGCATGCGTAGCTATCCAATGAGCGTTTTACGCGACACCAGGCGGACAAAAGAAATAAACGAAGTCTTATATCATCTTCTTGCTGCCACGAGCCTCGGTTATTGCTAGAATCACAAATATAAAAATTCTCAATATTCTTTTTTTAAGCTCGCTCGCACTTACAAAATGGCGTTCACAGGAAATTTACGCAAGAATAGCAGCGCAGTGTTGGCGATCTACATAAAGGAGCTGTTAACGTTCTTCTCTTGGTAACAAGAAAATTGCTGGAGCGGTGCAGTGACTATGTATATTTTGCTGCCAAGCTTACATTTGTGCAAGTAACGTAAAAAAAAATCACTCGATGTTTCCGGATGCGCTTAAGGAATAGAAGCGAACTCTATCTACTGGATAGGATATTAAAATGAGCAATTGACTTCTCAGCAATTTGTGCTAGCAGAGAGAGGAGTTCAAAAAAAAAGTCCATTTTTAAATGGCACTACTCCTTCTTTCCTGGTGATGATGCCCGTGCGGACACACGTACAGAACGAAGGGAAACACTGCAGTACTTTGTATGAAAGGAAAATAAACGTCCCTTCACTTCCACGCTTGGTCAGTTTGGCCGAGCTAGCGGAGAAGTAGCTGAGGCGACGACAGGGGAACATTCCGGCAAGAGCGAGACGGAGGAGGTGCGCCCGCGACACACTGTGCGACGACTCACGTGCGCGCCCGGCTGGTCGGCGATATGCAAAAGCCTCCGAGTGCGTGCTCTAGAAACGGCGATCATCTGCGCATCTTGCTTTCCAAAAGCTCGCGCCCTCTCTGGCCCAAAAGTGGCTCCGGAGGTCCGGAACGAGAACTAGCAGGGGCCGCCTTTCCCCTCTCGCCCCTTTACCTGCAACACACCTCGGGTGATGCTGGCGGGGGGTACGAAGGGGGAAGGGCGGGAGTGCCTCTTGCACTACCAGCGCCGGCCGTTTTATACCGGTCCCCCTCGCGGCTGCTCGCCTCCCCCCGACGGCGGTGGCGCACCGGCGCAAAGTGGAACGACTCCCCTTGTCGGACAACGGCTTCGGCAGCACACTAGGCGACCAGCGAACCGCGCACGCCGTTCTGCGCCTGCAAGCCGCCGACCAGCCTTCGGGTCACGCCGCCTGCTCTATCGCCGCCGCGAGCCTCGGTTGTCCAACCGCGAGAAGTGCCAACCACTGTGGATTACGACACTGCCCGGATCCTGTTGATGCGAAGGTGAGCTCTGACCCCACGTGCTGATGGTGACGCTTTTACATCCACGCTAAACAATAATGCGCGTGCTGAAATGTACAAAGCGCCCAGTGTCCGTGTTTGGAGAATCAGCAATCGCCGATTATTTGCGGCTAACAAATTGAAACTGTGTGTGTTATGTCACATGAGCCGCGCAATTTTTACGCGTCTCCGTGCAGAAAACGCACCTTGGAGTGTGAACGCCACACAGTCCAGGGTGTATGCTGGCAGTGCACGAAAGAGGAGCCACAGATTTTCAGAAGCACGATGATGTTCTTTAGCACTGTGGGCATTAATCATCGTACCAGAAAACTTGGAAGAAAATGGCCGAGGCTCTGTAATGCAGAATAAGAATTGAAGTACTAATAAACTTTTACCAGGAGGGAGAAGAGCTACATTCCACAAGTATTTTATCAGAACTTTCAGTAAGCATACGACCGCACTGTTCACTACGAACTAGGCAACCTCGAACAGTGCTATCATCCATCACTCATGAGGCATATTTGATGTTTGACCGCTATAATACGAACGTTAAGTATCACGAATACGTCACGTGGTGAGGATGTGGATGCGCGGCGAGAGTGTCATGCGTGGAGAAGTAGGTTAAGCCAGTGTATCGTTTACTGAGGCTTTATTGTTGGCGGAAGTCCGAATGCAAGTGCAAACCTTGCATCTTTTCTATCTTTATCATCCTTCTACTTAATACGCAATCTGCAGACGATCTCTCTGCTTAAATGAACGTCAACATTGAGTCTCTGGTATATTATTTATGTTGTTATCTCGGTAGCACGCAAAGGTGATTTACTACATACCATAGCTTCTTTGTTTGCAAATTTATTACCATGCGCACCTTAATGGCGTAGCTGGAAGTAGTTTGTCAAGTAATCCGTGTTCAGTTGAGCGCCAGTCACCACTTTGTTTACGTTCCAGTTATGAAATTGTAGTGCCAGATCTTCAATTTCGTACCGATCCTTCCTCCAGCGAGTGGATTCTCCGCGGTCGACCGCGCATGACCACGACTGAATCCATTGAAACGCGTTCGCATTGCGTGCCGCAGCGGCAACTTTCGTAAACGGATCCGTGAGAAGTGCATTAGAGAGGAATCTCGCCCCAGGACACACCATGAAGTGGGCTGCAGTGCATGTCGCCTGAAATTGGCCGAACTGGGCTGGGCTTCCATTTAGTGGGATGCCGCGTAAACAACCCACATCGTCTTCTATTTTACGGCTCATCATGGAAACTCGATGGCCGCCAGGTGGAACCTTATTGTGTTGGGTCACCGTTTTCTTCAAGCAACGGCCAGCCACACCGGGTACAACTCTGCGAGGCGTGCCTTAGCACTCGTGACTGCAGACCTTCCATCTAATCTCTGAGGATTTCCGTGCTTCTCTGTCCACTTGCACGCCACCTCTAAAGTGCGCCATTAAGTTCCGATGCATAGTTGCGCTAAGACATTCGCATTAAAGCAGCAAAGCCTTGAAAACGAGTGGTGTTGCAGAAGCTGCTGCCAGAGTAATGAAAACAGCAACGCCATTTGGTGGCAGACAGTCACCCAAAAGACAGCGTTTCATGCCCTCCACCCAGGTAAGTGCGATATCTCGCGAATAAATTTGAAGTCTTATTTTGTCTG